GTGGCAAACCAACCTCCCGACTCATAGCCTAGGTAGCCTTTGCAGCACCCTCCCACCTCCATCCACAACCGCACAAAAATGGCCGACGTCTCGACTCAGCAAAGACAGTCACCGAACCGCCGCCGCCGAGGCAAAAACCAGGTCCAACACCCCGTTCAGAAGGCCTACGCCTCTGAGAACGATGTTGCCGGCTTTGAGTCGTCGCATTACGGGGTCGCGCCTCAAACCCCGAGCAAGACAAGTTATGCGTCTCCCGGTCCCAAATCGAACCAACCCACCAATGCCAAACAGCGGATGAAGATCAAGACGGCCAGGCAGAAGAATGCGGGCACCACCACCTCGCCAGAGCCAGACCATCCCAGCCATACAACCCCTCAGCGACCGGCCTCGCTCAAGCCGGCCTTCGCTGGAGCTACCTTCCACGCTTCCCCGGCGCCTTCTGCACTGCCAATTCCGAGCTTCCTAGCGAAGCCTCCTAGAGACTCACCGGTAGCGACAGAAGAGGAACCGGCACTTGTTCAACAACAGCCTTCGCCTCCTACTACTGATAATGAACTCCCCACCCCTCATCGCCCATCTCCTGCTGCTAAGACGAGTGAATCGCCTTTGGATTTCATGTTTCGCGCTCATCGTCAGGAGAAGGAGAGAGAGCGTCACGGGCAGAGTCCCAATGTGTTCAATACTGCTACCCCGCCCTCGTTCTCTTCCCCATTGGTTCCTAAAACATCCTCTCAGCTACCCACTCGCTCAACTCCCACCAACCGAGCGTCCCACGGAATCGATTATGATGAGCTGAACGGCACGTCTGGACAGCCCTTTGGGCCAGCATTTTCAACACCTTACCAAGATCGGATCAAGGCTGCTCGATCCGGACCGAACCGTCCTGCACCCATCCCGCATCAAGCTTTATCGTCGAATGAACCTATCGAAGACCCTACCGAAGCACTGAAAAAATTCCTCTTCGGTGGACATATGGCATCTCCAACCAACCCTTCTCCACTTGGGGGAACTCCTCCTGCGCCAGCCCACTCGCATGCTGGATTTTATCCCCGACCAGTTCCCGCCAACAACTCACCACATGCTGGGCATCAAACCCATACTATTCAAGCAATGGAAAACGATCTTCGTCGAATTTTGAAGCTCGATAACGCGGTTGATTCGCCTTCGACGGAACGCCGTCTGTTTACACGATAATACTGTCTCTGATCACGACAATGCATCTTGACAACGATTCAAGGTGGTTCTGTGTCACTGATTGTGCGCTGGCTCATATCTCACCCAAATGGGAACAATCTCGGGCGTCTAAGCTTTGTGGACTTGCATCTCGGAGAACTTTTGATATTGGTAGCACTCTAAGACTTGGTATAATCTTAAATTGGAGGTCAACAACCTACATCTTGTTTTGCTGTGGGGGGTACCCCTCTCGACACTCTTACTTCACTGAGGTGAATAGCTCTTGAAAGTTCACCGTTTCATATCTGACATTAATGTTTTGGGAGCATTTGGATTTGGGTGATAATCCCTGATGTGTGGTTTTTATGGGGGTTTTGGCATCTGCTTTTGGGCTGGTTTTCATGATACCCTCGTATACGTCTTGGTCATGGTGGCAGCGAATTGGCGTTCAGCGCTGGATGGATGGGCACGCCCAGAAGCATGATATTAGACATTATCCTTGCCAGATTTGGCCATTAACATCAGAGCTACAGATAATTTCGGGCGATTTACACGGCATCGAGAGATGTTTCTCATACTGCGTACCGCTCACCTGTGATGAATGCAATTGCAATTTTGTCATAGACCTGGTATGAATGACAAGTATTGTCTATAGAGCAAGTGAGTTCTAAAATGACTATTGCCTAAATGATAAACTTGGTCCCTTTCTGCGTTATTCCCATTACCTATGTACTCCGTCTGGCCCTCTTCTTTTCCTGCCAAGAGTAAACCATGCCATGAGAGAGTAACAGGTATTTGGCAAAGAAATCCTCGGCAAAGTCGTCAAACTTGACATAGTCCGCCCCAAGATGGTATGCCGCGGCAATCCCGCTGACACAGGCGAGTTCATGCATGTTCTGTGAGCAACAGTCAGTTCGGTTAGCTGGCGTGGCTAGACGCTGGACAGGGAAAGAAAACTTGCCACAAGAGTCCACGATCCGGCGAAATGCGTCCTATTCCGCCCGTGGAGGAACATCATGCCTGGGACCACGCGAAGGTAGTGCTGCCAGCGATGGCCGAGCTGGTGCCACCAGTTCTTCTTGATGATTTTGGCATCGTCAATGTCGTCGATGGTCCAGAGATGCTTCTGTTCCTTGTTCAGGAAGATGGTTTGGTAGACTGGCTGGTACTCCTCGTCTGCCTTGGCGTTTGGCTTCCTTAGTTGGTGCTGGTAGTTGCTGCAGTTGAAAGACATCTCGATGAGGCGCGGGTCCGAAGGGTATGTATAGGTGAAGTACATTGGCGAGAAGCCATTCTGGGAATCCTCGCCTTTCGCGAACGATATCTGCTTCTTTTGTTCGTTGGACTTGGGTTCAGCGCAAAGTTCTGACTTGAACTGGGTCTCGTAATGGCGCTCAAAGTACTTGGTGTCGCTGTGCGTGACGGTGATGTCGTCGTAAAAGGCGGCACTCCCGAGGACGAACTTCTCCCGCCAAGTTGCCGATTCCCCAAGAATGCTGAGGGCATCGTCTGCGAGCGTGCAGAATACAATGTCGTCGAAATCTTCAACGGTTGTCTCACCTGTAGCAGCGCTTCGGATTCGAAGCTTGACGCCGTGCTTGGACCTGGATAAGACGGTTCTGACTTCTGTCTCGGTCCTGATGGATACCCCCCTCGCCTCCAGATCCTCGCGCCACTTGTGGTAGAATTCATGTAAGTGGTCGAACGTCACCATGGTGGGCAAGTTGGGTAGCAGCGTCTGAGGATCATAGTCCCAGAGCTTCATGTTAGGGTCATCAAATAGCCTCTCAACAATTGCCGAAGGGACATGGGCGGTCTGATTACCAGTGCCCAAGAATAGGGCAATTAGGGGGTAGACCATCTTGTCACCGAAATCTTTGCTGAATAGGAACAGCCGAAGCATGATGCTGATGGGGATCAGGCCCAGAACCGGCATAGCCCATTTGACGACGCTGAGGAAGAAGCCAAAGCGCTTGATATCGCTGGCATATTTGGATACCAAATTGCTTGGGAACACGTTGGTCCAAAATCCATCCTCGCCCTTGCCAAATGAAACCTGTAGCTGGATCTCTTCAGGAGGATGATGGTATTTTTCGAAGAAGTTGAATGTGTGCTTGAATATCTAGAATGGGCGTGTCAGTAGCATGACTCTTGCTGGCCTTAGCCGGCGGCGGATACAACAAAGCCTGACCTTTGAGCCTCCTTGAACACCGTTGTTCATCCACGATGCACCGTACTTTTGGGGGTCCAGTGGTATGGACGTGGCCTGGCCACCGACGACACTCGCCCTCTCTACCAGCGTGACCTTGAACTTCTCAGGATGGTTCGCAAGAGTGGCAGCGCATGACTTGATTCTCATTCATATCAGCACACGGCACTTGATTTCTGGTGGCGGTCGAGTATTCTCACCATTCCTGCAGCGCCGCCCCCGACGATGACCACATGGCGTCTGCTTTCGTCGGTTGAAGGCATCGTGAGCTGGGTAATCTTCAAGGGCACTTTTTACAACGCTGCCTGCAATAAAGAGTGGCACAGTAACAAGAGCAGAAATATCTAGATGGCGCCTTAATTTTCATCATCATTTATCTACCAACATTCCTCGCTTAATTAAAGCTTCGTGGACGTCATTGACTAGCCTCCGGATTCCCCGATCTCCATCAAGCTCGTGGCTCCCCACCATCGGCACGGCGACGGCGTCTTGGTCCAGCCTGGTCAAGGGGTAATTGATCAATTTAGAGATGGCTGTCCCTAGAAATTATGCATAGGGGGGAGGTAAATAAAACTAGTTGAATGAAATCCTATGAATCACCACGGACTAGCGCCAGCCTTGGTGTGATCTTGCTTCTTATACGTGTATTCCCCCCCTAAATCGTTACCTTCAATCGCTAAAATAAACCTTCATCTTAGATTCGCAATAGTTAATCAGTCGCGATTATTGAAGAGTTCATAGACAATCTACCTCGTTTATGTGGCACCGGCTTGTCTCATCACCGCCTGTCCGATCCTCTGACGTAGAAACAATGGCCGTGGAAAGTAGGACAACTAGGGAGTTCCAAATGTTGCAATGAATAATGGCATGGTTTTAGTTATGGTGAGGATGGGAGTTTTGCAAGGATATCCCATTTCTCCTGAAACTGCATTCTGACAATGTATGGAAAAGGCATGACTTCAGATCATAACGACATTTCTGCTTCTGCTTGTACAGGATCGTGGTCAGAGCGACAGGATGGACTGTTTACTTACTACTGTTACAGGCATAAATAAGCGATACTCGTGGGCTAAGCCGGTTTCAACACCGCTTTTCTGATAAGTGATCAATATGGCCCCGAAATGTCTCCTTACAGCTGTTTGGATAACTTTCTCCCTCTCTTCTCACACATGACAAGTGATCAAACCAGCATCCCCAATCATATATCATAATCAATAGCGTATGCCTCACTGGATGGTCCCACAGCAGATGCATTAATAATTACGGTGACGTGTCCCTGGCTGAGTGGCTGCTGACTGGATGCGACGATCCAAGAGTAGCATTCGGCGTCTTCTGGATCTCGCCATTGGACGATGGCACTTTGTTGAGCAAGTTCCTATTGGAGGCTTCTGCGCAATTTGTTGGCTTGAGACATGATGGTGCTGCAACCAATATGGCACTGTACATCGCGAGCGGACGGACTATGTGAAGTCTGATCGGGGAAACCTGCCAACTTTGTACTTACATATACAATCATGAACGCGGTACTCTCTCCCCTTCTATCCTTCAACCTTTGAAGCTCAAGAAGAGGCTTCTACTCATCATGCACAGGATGCTAAGAAAACGCCGTAAACAGAAGATGTCGGATGGCCCAGGGACAGAGCCTGCCAGTAGCAGATCTACGGCATTTCACCACTTTCAGAAGCTTCCTGTGGAAATCCGCTGCCTGATATGGACTCACGCATTTCCCCCGTTGGACCAAGAACCGCGAATAATGTTATACAAACGGGGTCTCTGGCGCAAGAAGCATCTCACAGCTGCCGACGAGGCGTACAATCCTGACGGGTCCCATGAATGCGTCATGCTTGACTATCGTATGAATAAACAGAAATCTATCGAAGTCGATCTGGTTGATGTAAATCGCGAAGCTCGACAAGTTACACTCCTCTGGGCACGCAAGCTTGGCCTCGAGCTTTCTTACCTCCCGGAGACGAAGCGCCTCGCCTTCCGTAAGCCCTTCGACCCGGAGACTGATGTGCTCTGTGTCGCAAACGACGGCTGGTTCGACTTCTCCGAGGGGTCAGAGTTTCTCCATGGTGAGCCTGATATCCGCGAGCCGGGAATTCTTATATTCCCATATATTACACGGCTCATGGCCGCGGATACGCTGTTTGAAAAAGCCATCGTCGAGATCCACACAGTACTTTCGCGTTTTCATACCTTGACGACGTTCTATGTCCTTCTCACTCGTCCTTGGTATGAACTAAAAGGAATGATCATAGAGCCACGTCTGCCAGATCTCGATCCGCTTGAAGGCAGAACCTTGACTTGGCACCTGGAGGACCAGGAATTTCGCCTTCACGGAAGCGCAGAGTCTGGTTGCTTGCTCGGCATGTTTGTGATTTTGGAGGTGGTTGCCGACAGGCTTAAAGCCAAATTCATTAAGAGCCGCAAACAGAAATTTGAGATGGCTACTATTCTACCCTACCGTCTTTTGCCTTGCCCCCCGGGGACATGAGATTGTTTGGAGCCTAGAAATTAATTAACCCATGTGTAATCCTTAGTTGTGGTCATATATCAGCCCTGCCCTTCACACTAGGTACTACATATACATGACAATTTTACATTGGACCGTAGTCTTAATATATTTCTCCATATCTCCATGATTGGCGGCTATTCAACTTGACTCGCACTGTTCGCGCCCATCTTTCCGTACCCATTGCCACCAGTCTTGAAGTGTTCGTCGTTCAAGAATGGCGGATAGGTAATCTCGACACCACTTCAACGCAATAGCCGCTCCTTGCATTCCTCCTCCAACCTCAGGCTCTCCTTCCAGGAGCCATCGGTAAGATATTGTGACCGCAGTTTGGCAACTTTGCTCGCGAGACCCATGGCTTCAATGTACGCGCCCTGCTCCATTCTTACCCCCGCAAGCCTATGCAAGGTCTCCAGCGTTGCCGCATCATGGTCGCCTAGGCTCTGCTTCTGTAACTCAAGAAGCTCCGTGTAGGTTTCGTATGCCGACCTAAATTGTTGGTTGAGACTGTACGAGTGACCCAGACACAGCATGGTCGTGTGAAACTCGGGAGAATATTTACTTATAGTATGCTCCTCGTAGCTTCTGATCTCTTTGACCACTTCGATCGCTTTTGTATAGTTATGATTTTCGAGAAGGAGATTGACATATGTAGCCATAATATCCTGAGTCTTCGGGTGTTCGGCGCCGAGCAGCTCTTCATACAGTCGGACGGCATCTTGTATCAGAGTCTCTGCTTCGTCCGCCCTTTGCTGGATGTCCTTTAGGTAGAGTGCATATTTGACCATGTACTCGAGCGTGGTCTCATCATTCTCACCCACGGCATTCTTTCGTAGTAACCACGCCCAATAGTAATGCTTTTCGGCCTCGGAATGTCGCATCAGGCATGTTAATGTCACCGCCAGACATTCTTGCAAATTCGCTTGCATAACCTCATCGTTAGCCCTTCCTTCATAGGCATGAAGAGCAGTGCGGAAGACCTGTTCTGCCTCGGCATACTGATTTGTCGAATACAGTGCCCGCCCGAGTGCAGTCACAGCTGCCAGAGTTTCGGGGTGGTGTTGCCCCAAGTTCCTCTCTCTATGCGCTCGGACTTTCCTGAAGAGAACTTCTGCTTCATAGAACTTGCCGCTCTGATCAAGGAAGTCTGCAAGGTTATAGATGGCGTCGATTGTGGCCGGCTCATCCACCCCCAATTCAATTTCCTTCAACTGGACTATCTGTCTGAACGACTGCTCTGCGTTGGCATTGTCACCCTCGTCAAGGAAAGAAGCGGCGATTCTGTCCCTCGTCACTATTACGTCCCCGTGAGCTTTGCCAAAGGTGAGCTCTTGCTTATGGAGAAGAGCTTCTAGTATCTCGCGACCTTCTTTGATGCTACCGGTTCTGATGAGTACATCACCAAGCCAGAACGAAGTGGTGAAAGTATTTGGATGGTAAGCCCCCCAGGCCTCTTCAGTGAGGCGATAGGCACTATGGCAAACTTGGAGTCCTTCCTCTGTTGGCCCCTCCTCAGTAAGGAGAAGGTGGCCGAGCCATTGCATGGTGTGAAGAGTGTCGGGATGAGTGGTGCCGAGGACTTCCGTCCTGCGTTCGAAAACTTCTCTTGATTTCTTCAAGGCTTTCTTCTTATCACCCAAATTGATGAGATGCTGGACATACTCCTGTTTAGTCCTCATTGACGTTATGTTACCCCTGCCGAGGCTCCATTCTAGCTTCTTGACCAGGCGTTTCCACATCGGCTGAGCCTCTTGATAATGTTCCAGGGCGTTTAGGGCAAAGCATAGCCAATGGAGATTCTCCATAGTGCAGAAATTTTCGGGGTTTCTCTGATCCGAGTCTTCTCGTAGAAGCCTTTCCGCTTCTTTAACTCGGCTCTGCTGGCATAGAGTGAGGCACAATACGTGGACAGCATCTGGCGCTCGCTTTTCGTAGCTATCTGGCTCCCTCTTAATAATTTGAACAGCCTCGCGGAGAATGGGTTCTGCATCGTGGACTCTGCCTTCTCGGTTTAGGCAAATGCCCAGAGAGACCATGGCATCAACAGTTCTTTTATCAGTAGGCCCGAGGAACCGTTTCCTTACTTCCACAACCTCCTGGAACATCGGAGTAGCCTCGCTGAAGTTCTCCTGCCCCTGGAGACAGGCAGCTAACGCCCCCAAACTCTCAATGGTGTCGATGTTTGAAGGGCCAAGTATTCTCCTTCTCTGTTGGAGAGCTTCGCGGCAGATGGGCTCCGCTTCTTCAAACTTGTAGTAATGCGACAACGCATCTCCCAAGTCGTGCATGCTATGTAGCGTTCTCGCGTCATCGCTTCCAAACATCTTCTTCTTTACAAGAAGGGCGCGTTGATATGTCCTCACCGCTTCGAAAAGGTTTCCCTCTTCGTCGATTGCCTCCTTAGCGATAACGCAACGTGCATCAATGACAATTAAGTGATCCTTCCCTAATACCTTCTCAAGTTCTTCAATCATCTGAAGTCTTTCAGGTAGAGTTCGGGGTTCGTAATCGCCATTTGTGATTTCTTTATACTTCTCATCAAAGTGGTCTTGTACGCGAAGCTTTTCAAGTTGCTCTATCACGAAAGCTTTCTGAACGCGATCCCCATAGGGGACATCTGGTCGGTCGTTTACTGAGGCATCAAGTTGGTCTGAGTTAGTTGGGACCGCATTATCTTCTCCAGGACGCGAAGGACCAATTGGAAGATCTGCCGACCATGTCTGTTCAGCACTGTTCGTAGATGGTTCATGATGTGATTTGGATGGATATTCGTGCTGGCTGAGATTGAGACTCTGCCGAAAAAGGGGGTACTGTTCGCTGGGTGCTGTGAGGTCTTGCGAGACAGCCAAGGGGGCAGGAGTGAATCTTGGAGGCCCTTTTGCAGATGGCGATGGCGTGCTCTTTGGTTGAGAGCTATCAGGAGCATACACCGACGGACCATGGACAGACCTTCGTGCAATCGTAGCGTCATGCCCGGGATTTAGAGGATACGTTTGAGCCGTGGGAGTTGACATGGACACCGAATGTGGACGGTTCGAGCTGTGCTGGCTGGAGGCGTCGGCAAAAAAGAGCTCAGCGTCATCCTTTCTTGCCATGCTATTCCCTCCATCCAGGAAATCTAAACCATCGCTGGGAGTTATTCGTTTTACCGTTGGCGACGCTGCGGAAGCTTGGACAGATTGGCTTGATACCATGGTATTACCCCTATCCAAAATATTTGGATTATGGTTAGGAGCTTTATGAGTAGCCGTTGTCCACTCCGCCGGGGCTCGGGTAGTCTGACTTGATACCGTGGTATCACTTCCATCTAAGGGACTTGGATTATGGCCCGGAGCTGTGTAAGTAGCCGTTGGCCACGCCGCAGAGGCTCCAGTAGACTGTCTTGATACCGTGTTGTTGCCTCCATTTGAAGAAATTGGATGGTGGTTGGGAGCTATGTAGCTGGCTGTTGGCCACGCCGCAGAGGCACGAGTAGATTGACTTGATACCGTATAAAGCTGACTCTCAGTAGTGCTCAGCCTGTTGGGGAATGGCGAGGGACAGCCGGGATATAGAGTGGTATCTGTCGACGAGGTGTGGGAATGAACATCGACGGCCGGGATAGGGTTAGGTGGATTTCCCCCAGATTGATAATGACTTGTGTGTCTTGGTCCAGCAACAGAGGCATGTTGCTGGGGATGCTGATGCTGCTCTTGATCATATTTCTCAATCCATGGGTCCCGTGATGCCGTTTCTGCGTCGATCCTTGCTCCAGGATCAACAACAACCAGCTTCCGAAGGAAACTGATCCCATCCTCACTTATCTGTAAATTTCGCAGAACATGATCGGGGAAGGGCGATGTGTTGCTGAAAAAGGAGTGGCGCTCCTGCCCATCGCGGAACATGCCTTTGCCAGTCAAGAGTCGAAAGATTGTGTATCCAAAAGCCCACATATCAACGGCTCGGGAATTATCACCACCGGACCGAGACCTATATCCATGATGTTCTGGAGGCATGTAGTCTATCGTCCCAGCTAGCGATGTGAAATTGCTGATTGCCTCTCCCCGCTTGCTGATGCCAAAATCACCCAGCTTGATGAGCCAAGGGTTGGGAGGCTGTTGTTTAATCAGAAGATTCTAAGGAACACATGAGTATATATTGAAATAAAGCGTCGATTCTCTCATTTGCAGAGCTCACTTACTGCAGGTTTCAGATCCCAGTGGGAAAAGTTGTGCTGGTGCATCACATAAAGAGCGTCCAGAATCTGCGAGGCGATACTGCCAACCTCATGCTCGGGCAGCCGGCCATTTGGACATGTAGACGGATGATCGAGATACTTTTGCAAGTCTCCAAGCTCGTAATATTCCATGGCTATGTGGACATAGTCCCCACTAAGAAACCATCCATAAGGCTGGATGAAGAGGCCCTTGAACTACATTGTGAGACCAAGTTAGCCAGGTATGACTATGAGAGCCATAGCGAAAAGAGAAAGAAACTGACCCTAGGCTGTGAAAATTTAAACATGGCTTCCAACTCGCGTCTAATCATCTTCTTCTGCTCCGGGCGCCCTGAGAGTTGAATCTTCTTGACTGCGCGCAACGAGACAGGGCGAGATCCGGCTCTCTCCCTCTCCTCGACGTAAACAAGTCCCATCCCCCCCTTCCCAACCGGATTTTGGTGTGGAAACCATTTCTCATGGCTGTAATTCTCTCGGCGGGTTGCCGCAGCCCGGGGGTGTATGGTGCAGCCCCGTTCGAAGATGACATCCAGCCGCGAATCTCGGACCAGTTCGGAGAGATCCCCACCAAGAATGTGCGGAGTCGACATGATCCGCACACTGAGATCCTCCGTGGAGCCTCAGGGTTCTTCCTTTGCTGCCGTCCGGACGGCTCTCACCGTTCAGGGACAAGAAGTACCCAGGCGTCGTGCGGCAAGTTTGCTTGCTCTGGGCTGTCGAGGGCTGCGGCTGCGGCTGAAGCAGGAAAGGGAGGGGCTTTCTAGCTTCGAGTGACTTTGCTTTTGTGCACCACGGCGCTCTCTTGAAGCTCAGCTGAACATGCAAGCTGGGTGGGACTGGACAGGGGTCAGTCTCGATATTGGGTGCCAAGAGAGCCTGGATTTCGCCCGCCGTAAGCCGAATCGAATCTGCTGGAGTCTGGACAGTCCAGACTCATGCTAGCTGAAGTAATTTTGATCAACATATTTTGTCTGGCTCATCAAGACATCAATATCGCCGACTTCTCCAAGACTCTTTCAATCAAATGCTTGTTCATCTTGTCTCGTACAAGCCGGGCCTTAAATCAGCTGTAGATTAAACCAGATTCTTAATGAACCAACTTCTCCACTGGAAATATAGAGCGACCCTTGGCCAAGTTTATCTGCCCCTTGCCATCTCGCTAGAAATGGATGCTCACTACGTTATGATTGGTCCTTGCCATTCAACAGATCATTCCCATTAATTGAGCCTGCCAAGTGGGTGACAGGAGAAATGAGACACCTGAATGGAAGAGTTGGTTATAAACAGACTACTTTCTATAATTAATAGAGAGAAATTCAGTAGCATAAAATAAAATCAAGCGATAATATCCGCTATATTATCTCTGTGGTATGTGTATTAGCACTCAATAATCTGATAATACCGATCGCAGACTTGAAAATAAGCAGCTTAATGTTTGAGTGTCTCAATTTTGTCACCCACTTGATCTACCTACCCAGAAATATATTCCTCCAAGTGGGTCCCCAGCTTAATATCACCTGGCTTCAAGGCTGTTTGGAAGCAGAGTGCCTCCGCCACGGCCATCTCAATAATGACACAAATCAACGCTTCATTTCTGCCTCCGTGGGCCGCACCCACGACAGCCTTCACATACTCTTTTGATTTTCTCCTCCAGAGATGCGCATCTTCTTCATCCTCTCCAAATCGCAGTGTCTGAGCGATCAGGGTGGCCGTCAGAGTGCATAGGCTGCGGATGTTAAGCTCGACAGTGACCAGATCAATTGTTCCCGGTTCGACTTTTTTCCCGAGCTCCCTTCGCACTTGAAGCATGATAACATCAACGCTGTCTAGAATCCTTTGTTCCTCTCTCCTGCCAATGTGTTTTGAGGGGTAAGTATGAAGATTTTTGTAAGTCGGAAGGGAAGACGGAAAGCCGTTTGAGATGGGTAGCTTTCCTATAGTTGAGTTTTTAGATTTCCTCATGGTTGGCTGGGATTGCTCGCCGAATTGCAACCACGAAGGGAGATAGCGTCGCAGACGGGACTTGTGAGAAGCTGCCATGCTTGTTGAGACGGAGCCACTGCTTGGTAGCTTATCTACCAGGTACTTCTTGCTCATGCGGTAAGAGCGTGCTTGAGGAGAGGCGGAAGGCTGGTAAAGAGGGAAGAGATCGTATCCCTCGTGGAGGAGGAGGAGCGACTGGTATAACCTGTGGAAAACGAGTCCAGGCCAGGCTTGCGACAAGGCAGATGAGCCAAGGTTCAAGCTCCGCCATCGCAATTTAACGAAGAGTATCTTAACCCAAAGCTACCACCACAAATGTGCCTGTTTTTTGAAGTCAGATGTGTCAAGGTTCGAGCTTTTCGACCCGGCATTTAGCACCGTTAGGTATCAGAGGTGTAAATCCAGGCAGGCACAAGTCCACTAATCACTCCGTCTCTGCGAATGGATCCATTACATTCAGGTTGGCCCTGTCGCTAGAAGCTCTAGATTATCAACAGTATTGATCTCCCCCAGTTCGGTCGGCCAGGAAGGTCCTGGGCGAGACCTAACATGAATGAGGTGTCAGACCTCACTTCCATCTCACTCAAAATACGGATGCGTTGCTGCATTCGAAACAAAAATGCGTCTTCTATGCTTCAGCGGTAAAAGTCAAAGCGGTCTCCTCCGATTATTTCTCCCATCGCGGACGTCTCACCCTCATATTTGTTTATTCTTGCTCGAGCCAAGATCTATACAGCAATAGGATGTAGTATTGATTCCTAAATGCATATCGCCAAAACAGCAAAAGAAAAAAAAACACAACAATGTGAAGAGTGCTCAACAGCGGAAAGTTCCCGTGAAAACGGTTTTCCGTGTCTCTAGTACCGCGTTTCATCTGCTAGAATAAAACAAGAGAACTCTGATCAACCAGTGGTGGTTCAAGCCAATCCAGGAATAACAATTCGGTAGGGCTCACGGGGCAATCAGACCATTGCAACAAAAGTATAGTATTACAATCATCTCGATCGTATACGTTTGTCCTTGCCGTCATTGAGTGGTTACGTCGATGCTGGGGAATCAACCACACTCAAGCCAACGGGGTCCAGCAGTGTAGTCACATTAGTATTAGTCGGTTAGTAAGAGTTCTCATGGCATGAAACACATGAAACGGTGTATCAAGAAGTACTATACGATCTCACGAATCGTTTTTTAAGCCTAAGAAGGGCATTTAGACATGTATCCGCAGCCTGCACCCTAAGCAACTCGGTCACATCACCTTATCGAGCACCCCAAGGGTGTCAAGGCATGAGTATGATGGAAAATGAGCATCGGGTTGATAGCCACTGCTTGACATGACCCGTAACTTGTGATTAAGGCCACGTTAGAGACTTGAGCTCGATGCCATAGATGCCACAGCGTCCGAGACCTTGGAATGTAGTGATCAATCTCTAGAGCAGTTTCATGTCAAGTATTTTTTGGATCTCGCCATGAGCAAGAGATATACCAGCCATATCAAGTACGATCAGCAGAGAGAAAATGGTCAAGGACAATAGTGCTAAAATACGGTACGGAGTAGAAAATTGTCCAACCGCAAGCTCCACGCGTGGTTGGGGCATAAAAGAAAACCAATCCAACGGTGTCGCGTAGGCTCCGCCCCGTGGTTGGGGAGAGCTCGTGATCATCATTGTAACTAGAAACAGGAGAATGGCATCATGGGGATAATCGGGTTGTACGAGCTGGGTAGGGGACAGGTCTGAATACACAAGCCAGAAGGCAGCTTGAAAGCGGGCTCGGTAGAGACGTTCATGCTCGTTGATAAAAACACACCAATATGAATCTACGTGGCTGGCCATTTTATTACTCCTGGCAACAGAAACGACCTTACAGAAAGAGTGGTAGGAGTGAGTTGTCCAGGTGGCTCGTCGTCGCATGCACTGGAACTCTGCTGTGGCTCTCCAAGAAGATCCCCAGACAAGGGGAGGACGATGGAGAGAGCTTCGGGGAAATTGAAAAATAAAAAACAAACAAAAAAAGAGTTCGCACAGCATCGGGGTATGCCTACTACTTCTCATTGATCCCGGAGTGGTCTCCGGGGAGCAGGGTCCAGCACCTGTTAGTCTCAATCCCACGCTCACAGCCATGAACGAACCGGGGTTCGAACCGGGTGCGTCGAGTGTTTAATACAAGCGCATTAACCACTCGACCTATACTGGATTATCTCCGAAAGCGATACCTCTTTGTGTGGTCAAGTAGGATTGGCATGTGTGGTGGCAGCTGGCGGCGGCTCATGGCGTTCTGAGGGCGAGGTGAGGTGAGCAACACAGCAGCCAATCAGATGCTTGCGGGTCGTTGGTTATTGTGGGTCCATTGCTCACAGCCAGACAACAAGCCTCAGTGGGTGAGAAGCACCTCCAGTGGCCATAACCAGAGGGAATGGGGCGTTCGGAAGACAGAAAATGAGAGAGAAGAAAGGAAAAGTCTCTAATTTGGCGACATTGGGGCGGACAATGGTAACCTGTTATGATGTCGCCGTGTTCATCATAGCCACAGATGAAAAGAGATTAAAAAAAAATCGGAAGCAGGAGGGGAGAAAGGGTTTGGGTCGTTTATTTGATTTTATGTAATCGGCTTGCCCCACAACCACAGTGTCCACAAGGTACTTAGGTTTGTGTGCGTCATGGCAGAGACGCTATGTCCCCATACGACAGCAACCTTCCGAGGAAGTTTAAGACAACGGAGACAGCTTGTAGAAATACTTCAAATGGTCAATCAACCAACCAACCTGTCTTCGTCTGCCTGGGACGAAGATCTATCTGGTAGAAATTATTTCTATCTGTACTGAATTGAGATGCCTTTTCAATATGGAAGTCTCGTTAACGGAAAATATGGCACTATCTAGGTTCCGGCAGACTTGTTACGATTGCTATGGAAACAGATATGGCGACACAAATAAATCTATTGGAAAGCTCGACCACAAGAGATGTGGACGATTAGGGTACAAACCCAAGAGAAGGTGGAGAGTCAGCTTTGAACACTTGCGACTGAATTTTACCGAATGGACAAGTGTTACCCCTTACCAAGTGCTATTTATAACGATGGAAAAAAGGATGGTTTAATGTTGTATCTTTTCAGGAAATCCATTGGCCGTATGGCGTTTCCTCTTCTCAGCATCAGCCACAGGCTGGGGGAAAGTGTGTCCCTACAGACTGGAGTGCGCGAGCATTGCGGCAGTCGTGGTAAAGAGAGACTGGACACATGGCCTGCATTAAGTTCATTACATCCCAGGGAATCCTGCGACTCTTGAAACTTATACATTGGATCTCTGACGATACATAGGCCTACTATGCAGGTGACTCTGCTACTTTGAACACAGAGATCAGGCTTTCCGCCGGCCTGCCGACACCCATCCCCAACTAGCTGGCCTCGAGATTTTTGGGTGGCACTTGAGGCCTTGGCTTGCTTAAACAAGCGTAATTTGGCCGAAACTTGAACAATAAGTTGTATGGGGGGACAACTTTGATGTAAAAGGATCTGGCTAGCGGACAGCTTCTGAGTGTCCATATTCCGCAGCGCCAGTGCCTACGGTGGCATTGGCAGTCAATCGGAAGGTGGCTAGTATTCATTCGGTATGCATGATCCGTAGTGATAACTACTCGAGATTTCGTGTTATTTTAGCATGGTAATATTTACTGTGTAGAGAATAACAGGCAAAAAAGTGGATGGCTGAGTTTTGTCTTGAACTGGAAAATGAAACGACCTACACAACCATTACTTCTTGCCTCCTCCCTTCGAGAAGCATCCTCTTGACTCTACTTTCAGACTGATTGTATACAGCATATCGCACTCACCAGACGTGCAAATATAATCCAGTGAGCCGGGCAGTGAGAGCGACTGAGTGGTCCTTTGACTCTCCGTCGTGTCTGAGAGTCTTATCTCAGGGGCAGTGTCGTAGGCAGAAGAGGGAGAATGTTCCTTTGCATTACAATAGGCAAAATTTGATTCCTTGAATCATATTTGAGGAATTACGTCTCTCAAACTGCCAAACCTTTGGTTAGGATTGGTGACTTCCTCGCCCGTGCCAAGTGTAGTGACATTTAGCATAGTATGCACTACACCAAGCTCAGCGTCTGGTCTTTAAGTTATGACTTTGGCATTCTGTAAATGACTTTAATAGTCATCATAATACGATACAATAATTCTGTATGTACTATGTATTGCGAGAGGGGTTCTGAACAACGGTGTGCCAGGTTCGCTTGATGCTTTTGGCTCAGCTCCCTTACGCAATAAAGATGGGAACATTCGTACGTCCGTCAGCACCTACCACTTCACGGAAAATCTGTCATGGCTCCTCCTAGTCTTCGTGAGAACCCCTATGTGAAAATGCAAAAGCTTAAATGGCGATGATCGATCTGCGACCCATGAACAAGGCAGCTGTGCCTGACTTGTGCCCAATCTCAAGCCAATAGAACATCATCGCAAGTCAGAGGAAAGAAATTCATAATGATGTTTGATTCTTCTTTCAACTGCTCGTCCTGAGAGAACACCGGCAGGATAATCATTATTAGCATCAGAGGTTTAAAAACCTCAGAAGCGGCTACAATGCGATGAAAAAAGCCCATCCGTCGCACAAGGGTTTGTGGATCGGCTCATACATGCGCACGTCTACGCCTGTACGAATATCGATGGTATTCTTGTGTCCGGGGATTCTTTTCAAGAACACGCTAGCAATCTCCAACAGGAGGACTTTAGCCCTCGCTGTCTTTAGAGTTGCCATTCTTTCAACATCGAGTTTTGATCCACCTACATAGTCTAGCCCATCCTTTCAGAGTTCTCACCATCCACCATCCACTTGACACGGTCTGCAAAGACTTAAACCAACTTTTCAGGGGTCACGCATTAGCTTGGTGGATCACCTTACTGTCTGATGCAGAGAGGTCTAGATCTCTGGTTTCTTGGACCATTTGGTTCGCACCCTTCGAGGAAAGTTCTCCTTTGCTTGGGCCGAGGCGTACAACCATCTAGTGCTCTTTGACGACAAGGGTTGCACCAATGGTGCTCTTTCTAGGCCTGCATACAATGTCGGTGGCAAATTTTATGCAATGCGTGGAGTTGAGGCATATCCAATACCAGGCACAGGCAATGTCACACTTGGGGGTGGAAAAACTTCGATGGTCATTTAATAGGGTTTCCCAGGGACCACATTAGTCATTAATGAGATTTAAGCTTTCTTCTTCGGTGTGGTTACGAGTAATGAAACTTCACTTACGGTCACGTGAGTTCGCGTAGCGCAGTACATGTGTACCTGTCAAGGAGCGCGTTGTTCACGCAGATCCGAGCTTCAAGGCTTGCAGATCTCCTAATTTGAGCCAGACATAGTTTGCTCACGAGATTTACCGCACTAGCTATTCAAATTCCAACATAACCATGTCTGGGCCGGGAAGCGGCTCGCCCGTCCAGCTCGACGATATGGACGATGACGAGGCCCTCCGATATGCCATCGCCCTCTCGTTGCAGGAACATGACAAAGAGTCTCCCGAGCCCGCCAAGGCAGAGGAGTCACAACCCGATCACGGGTCACACACTGCAGGAAACTTTTCGCTACGCCTGCTAGACAGAAAGGCAATGGAAGAGGCGCGGCTGCAGAGATTAGCTGGAAAACGACCCCGTCTGGACCAGGAGACGACCCCTGACGATGGCGACGATGTCGTCGAAGTGCCACCCCCCAAGAAGATGAAATCTGCAGGAACCAGCACCCCAAAAGGCGTCCCTCTATCTGCCTCTCCGCCCACACAGCCGGCACCAAGTAACTACTTCCCCGATGGTGTTGTCAGGCGGACATGGGCAAGGGGCCACCCTCGAGCTTCTGATGATATCAAAATCGAGGAGGTGTTCCAGAAAGAAAAACTGGAACTCGCACTGATATCCTCCTTCCAATGGGACGAGGAATGGATGCTGTCCAAGGTAGATCTCAGAAGGACCAAACTACTTCTACTTGCATTCGCCACAAACGAGACTCAAGTAAGAACATATCCTTATTCTAGAACACTCGTATACACGGTCCACCCACATAGTGAACTCCCATTTAGGCCTCACATCGACTAACGTAGATTCTGTAGCAACAAGAGATGCAGGCAAATGCACCCCCCAATGTCCGCTTCTGCTTCCCGCCAATGAATGGCCCTGGTGCCATGCACTCCAAGTTGCAACTTCTCAAGTACCCCGACCAGCTTCGTATTGTTGTCCCTACTGGAAACTTGGTCCCTTACGATTGGGGAGAGACGGGCGTGATGGAGAATGTAGGCGGGAGATCTAGACATGTCCATTGGGCCGAATTGACGTCAAGTCCTGGCTAACCATTCCCTGCGACTTAGATGGTGTTCTTGATCGATCTACCTCGCCTAGGCGATGCCGCCGACCACAAACCCACCCCCTTCAGCACCGAGCTAGCGAGATTTCTGACCGAGGCCAAGGTCGATGATAAGATGGTCGGCAGCCTCACCAGCTACGACTTCGCACGGACCGAGAGGCTCGGATTTGTTTACTCCATGTACGTCACACGAGGCTGAAAAAATGTCACCCCATAACCATAAACCTACCCACAGGAGCTGACATCCATCCGTTGCGTGGCTGGAAAATAGTCCCGGATCACATACCAACGACTTGCGCAGGCGGACAGGTGAGTGGCTTGTTGCCCCTCCATCAGAGGACCCCGTGGCATGGCATGGCGGTGGCGGCCTTGCTGAACTAATTTAGGTTATTGTGGCCTCGGCAATGTGGTGTCCAGCCTTGGGCTCGCTACCACATCTCCGATCGAGGTTGACAGTGTTGTACGTCCACCCCTGAGCACCGTGTCATTGTGCAGGTACCCGCTAATGTCGGTACTTGCCAGAGCGCCTCACTTGGCTCCCTCACCTGCGACCTACTCACATCAATCTACAACGCCTGCCAAGGTAAGCCACAGTCCCTTTGTCACGGCGAAATACGTAAAAACTCCCTGGACGCGTTTGCGCTGACGAATTCGCCTCTCCGTTCCCCGCCGAAAAGGAGATAATGGCATGAAGGAATACAACGCGAGAGGTACCCGGAAGCCAGCAGGCGCATCGCATTCCACGCCGCAGCTGTTAAGAGACCACTTCCGTATCTACTTCCCGACAGAAACCACTGTCGTCAATACCCGTGGCGGAAGAGGGGTAAGTGATGCCTCGGCGCTTCACACCATCTCGCATTCGAGTCCAGGACGCAAGCCCAGCCTGGTCTATCTCCCACCTTCTGTCCCTTCCCCCTCCCTCCTTGACTACGCAAGTGGTGTTTGGGTCTGCTAACCAGGTGCTCTATCGCCGTTCCTCGATAGGCAGCGGGGACGATCTGCGTTCAGGCCAAGTGGTGGCGGCAGCCCAGGTTCCCCACAGACCTGGTTCGCGACTGTGTCAGCTCTCGGAAGGGGCTTCTCCTACACACTAAGGCCATCTTCGTCCACGCAGCCAGCGCGGCGGAGGTCGCCGATGCACCCAGCCACAAGGCTAGCGCCTGGGCTTATGTGGGTAGCGCCAACCTCTCCGAGAGCGCCTGGTAAGTTAGTCTCCTTTCGTTTGAAGAGGGGGTGGAGAGAGAGTTAAGGACGCAGCAAAAGAGAGCGCAAAAAAGCCTCTACAGCTTTCCCTCCATCCCCGGAAGGGAAGTGGGATGGAGAGGGGGACCAAAGAAAAATATGGGTATGGATAGGCTAACAGGAAACCCATCAAACAGGGGCCGCCTAGTCAAGGACAGCAAGACCGGCAAACCGAAGCTGAACTGTCGCAACTGGGAGTGCGGAGTAGTCGTGCCCGTGCTAGAGGCCAACGGCAAGGCGCGGCCTACCAAGGGAGCTTCGGCGGTGGCAACTAGTTCTGCTGGGACCGAGGCGGGCAGCAGAGGCAGCAGCAACCTAGGGGAATTGTTCGCATCTACAGTGCCAATGCCAATGCTAGTCCCGGGTCGTTTGTACGGGCCGAATGAGGAGCCATGGTTTTACGCCGATTCGTAAAAGACAACATGACTGCTGCCTGGCCGGTGTAGTGTAGTAGAGCGAGCTGCATGTACGACGTTGCTTTAGAGGGGAATATCACGAGCTTTGAAGAGACCTTGTATACCTAGTATGTAATGAGAACACAAGATAGAGAGAGAAAAGAGGGGCAGAGTGAGGGGCAACCGATCGCAGATGGATGACCCAAACAAGAGCCCAGCCCAGCCTACTATCGTACTACCTCTCTTCTCCCATTCCTCGCCCAGTATCTGCGCTCGCTGCCCGTGACATGTGCTCGATTACGCCTCACAGTCACATGAGGCCCCTTTTAGCTCATCGAGCTGGTGCAACGCCAAGCCCATCGCTCCTCGGGCGGAACGCCGGACCAGGTGCCAGAGACGAGGGTGCCCCCCAGGCCAAGTGCAGTGCGAGGACAAGGGGCCGGCATCCAGCGAATAGAAGGGGGGAGAGATAGGAAGTGGGCTCCCAGCATATCTCTCGGATCGGGGCTCATTGGCTGCGTACAAATCGCCTGGCCGCGTCCGGGTCCCCGCTTCGTTTCCATGTCGAATGCGCAAGCCTAGGCCGTCGAGGATGGTCTTGGCTGCCGCCTGCCGCTCCCGACCAATTGGCCAATCACGCGAGGCATTGAGGGGGTCCCCGGGGTGATTGTCTGAAGGAGGGCTGGAGCATCGAGACTAGGGCTTGGCGTGTCATTCTGTGGGTCGCCCTAGACCAAGCCACTGCCCGTTTGCTCTATGCAAGATTGATCGAGAGGGGTGATGGACCATGAATGGCGTTGTCCAGGTACTGACGAGTACGCGGGGGAGGATGGTCAGTCAATTGACGCCCGCAGGCGTGAGAGCAACCATTGCGAGACGGATGGCTTGTCAGTCTCGCTCTGCCACGCGCGTAGACGCTTGCTGAGCAGGCGTCCAGTGCTGGCCGGAAGCAGCACAGACGAGGATATCATATCTGCTGGGACTCTGAACCCAGAGATGAGGAGGTCTCAAGTCCCGTCGCATTCATGCCAGTCGCCGCACCCACTCTATTCTGTCAAACGAAGTGTGGTGGGGATTCTGATTGTCGTGGACCCACCCTTGGCCTGCAGGCAGCTGGTTCGGTCTGGCGGGGTAATGCTCATTCTGTGAGGCTAGGCTGGGGGTCCAACACCACATTCACGTTGCCAGTTCAACCAGTGTATGCTACTACGTCTATACGCACCATGGTCAGTCACAGTTAGCATGAGTAAGTAAGAATAATAATAAGCCCGTGTATTGCAGCCAGAACTAGACATTGTCTCTCAGAAATAACAAATAATCACGATAAAAAAACAAATACCAACTCCCAAACTCCAGGTAATAATCGCGGCAGTACACGAGTATCAGACGGGAAAGAAAAGAAAAAGCATCCCTGCTGCCTGCCCCAATAAGCAGTAAGGATGATGACTTTTTGACCCTTCACTTGACCCTAGTGAAGCCGAACCATTAACCGAGATAGACTGTTTCCCTCCGTCTACCATTCCAGAACGCCAATAATCAACAGGTTGACTGGTTCAACCTTGGACAAAGAAGCCAGCCTGTGCCACCCGTCAATTGTGTAACACCTGTAAGAGCGTATCCAATATAAAAAAGGGCCCATAAAGAAACCATAAACACCTGTTTTGGGCATGAAAGAGCACCAATAGAACAAAACGCCAGCCAAAATAAGCCCAGACCCCAGATCAGCAGACTAGTGACCGTCTGAGTAGTGATCATTAGGGGGAAAGCTTACCTTGAAATAGTTCTGGGGGAAATCCTCATGAGGATCTTCCAGCCCCTCGAGGTTATTCCAGCTGTTATCCAAGGTGAACGACTGAGATGCTGGTAGACCGTTGGCTAGATTGTCTGGCTCTGCTTTGGGCTGTGCAAGGCCCATCCCCGCATGCTGATGCGAATGCCCGGTGGCGGGAGGTGACGGGAAAGTAGTGCCGTGTTCCGAAGCACCGTTACCTTGGACAGGGCTCAAGAATGAATGCGCTGATAGATAGTTGTTCATGGCTCCGCTTCGGCCTTCGGGGACTGAGCTCAGAGAAAATGCGTCCATATCGGCGGGCTGGCTCGCTTCAATTGTCGAGTGTCGACGAGGTATCTCTTGGGCAGGCATATGGCGGGGAGACTCTTGCATAATCCCGGCAGTCGATGCGAATCGATTTCTACCCGCTTCCAGATGATAGTGACCAGGAGATGTCTGACCTGTGACGGACCCTGGGTGAAGTGGGCTAGGGCTCACACCATTTTCAATATAGCCGGGGAACACGTTAGATGGGAACCCATACATCGAGGAAGTCGATGGTGCTGGGTGCTGGGTCCCGTAGTCAGAGGGAGCGCGAGCATGAGTATGATACGATGCTATGTTTGACAAGGGAGCCGGAGCCGAAACCGCATAGGTAGGAGCGCCCTGAGGGTAGGAAAGATTGTTCATGGGGTGAGCCATGACCCCCGGTGCTTCGAAGCCATGTGGCATCGGTGTTGCGATGTAGCCACCAATTCCAAGATAGCCATCTGTGGTATACTCGATCTCTTCGAGGGGGGCACGGAAGTTCTGCGATGAGCAAATCTCATGGCGAGGAATGACGTGGCGGAAATTTGGGTCCCGGGAAGGGGTTTGAAGTCGGTTTTCCTGCACATCCTCGACGCTGTAGTAGCTGACGAGATGATGGGTGACCCCACGGTAAGTGATACTAATGGTCTTCTTGATAAGACCGCCCTCCTTGAATGGGTAGGAATCAATCAGGGAGCCAATAAGTGCTCTCTCTGGATCCTTGAGATTGTTTACATTCACCTGGCTCGTGGAAGACGAGAAGGCGGCGGAGGAGAGGTCGGGTGGGCTCTGCCCAGAAGCCTTGCTAATGCCGCCATTGGACGGCTTCTTCTGTGGGCGCTTGAGTGCCCGCTTCTTTTCGCCCGGGGGGAAGGGCTTCTCCAGCTCGCGGTAGATGAGAAAGTTGTTGAGGATACGGCTGGGGCTCCAGGAGACGCCGTCGGTCCAGCGTTTGATTCCTGAGGAGTGCTCCTCGTAGATGAAGACGTACCCGCTTCGAATGAGGTCCTGTCGCTCTCTATCATGAGGACGGCGTGGGACATGCGAGAGTTGACCATCGAGGCATGCCTCCATGAGGATCAAGGCATCTTTGGTGGATGAGATGTGGCCGTAATAAGTAGGCTCGAGAGGGCTTGCTTGGCTCGCCATGGCCAAACAATAAGGTGCGCGGCCACAAGGTTAACCTTTGGACGTAGCGAGAGTATGAAGATGGATGAAGAACGGGGAAGAGGATTGGGTTTGCTCTTTTCAGGAAAGGAAGATGATACTAGGTCCACTGGAGCGTTGCAACCGCTGTTGATAATTCCAACGCGGAATTTGTGAGATGGGGATGTGGGTTCAAGATCTGAGCTGTGCAAAAGGTTCTTTGCGATTTGATGATGGGAGAGATTCGAGGGGACGTCAGTGGAGGTAAGTAGGAAAGATGTCTGGACGTAGCCAGGCAAGTACGGCTGACTGGATGCTATTCCGTTTGCGGAATCCACAAGCGTGGTGGAAGCGAGGGAAGAAGACGCAGCCTGCTTTAAGTAGTCGGGAAGGAGGAATGCGTAAATTGGTGAAAGGCAGGGAAGGGGAATTGGCCAAGATATTGTCGAGGGCCAGAAGGGAAAAAGAATCAGCCAGCTGCAGCGAGTCCAGCAGGCCAAAACATAAACTTGCAAGCTATGGCAGTTGCTTTGTGCTTCTTGCAAGAAATTTGCCCGGTTTCCAGGTTGTGGGAGGACGCCTCGAACTTAAAAGGAGACGCGGTCGGCAGGCAGTTCTTATACAGCCGGTAGAAAGCGAAAATCACACGCGTGTGTCCCGTATATGTTTTTTTCTCTAGTCGCAAAAGGTCCTCCAGAGGTGTGTACTTTCAATAGAAAAACGAGCTAGAGGGGCGAGGATATCGTGTATGGTAAAAATGTACAAGCCGACAGTACCAAATCATCAGATCTTCACGCCCATCCCACTTACAACAGAAGAGGGCCAAGTAAAGGGACTGGGACGAGAGGAGATCTTGGAGAGGGAAGGAGCGAGGGGGCAGCAGATGCGGCAAAGGTGCGAGCAGAAGGGCAAGAGGATGTGGAAGTGAGAGTACGGCCAGTGTGATGAGGCGGCGTAGAGATGGATGCTATGGTATGGTAGATTAGCCCGGCCGAGTGGTCGAGGCAGCCCTTTGGGAGCAAGATAGCCGTATCTGGTGGCTGAGGGACGGGGCCAGGGCCGGAAGTTACAGAGACCAGAGTCGAAAAGCCACCGGGCGCGATCCACCTCGAACACGCAGAGCCGAGAAAGTATGATGCCCGGACGTGCAGATGTCAGTCATCAGAAGGGTGGAAATTCCAGACCTAAAGGGGATCGAGAGCTTGTCCGCTCTCGTAATGGTTGGGAAACGTCCCCAAGTGCCCACATCCACATCAGGCTTTCCAGATCTGGATGTCCGCAATAAGGCCCAGCAATGTCGCGGCTGTTCCCGGACACAGCTGTGGAGGGGAGGCAGTGTCTCACTTTCTCTTCTTGCTTGCTTTTTCTCCCTCTCCTTCCTCTACGGCCTGCCTTGCTCGTCGCCAGGATGTATATGTATAGGAGAGCCCCCGGCATCCAGCCTGCTCAGCACACCGGAAACCAGATGTGGTCTACTTTGGATGGAGCCCGATGGTGGGAGGCGGGGGTTCGGCACACCACGATGGTGCTGCATACGGCACCAGCCCAACACACAACACAAGCACCAGCCAAGCCGTAGTCAAGTACCTATGATGGGATGGCGTCTCTGACCCTCTCCTCTGCTCGACTACACTACTGCTCCCATCACTACCACCACCCATCTGCCCGGTACCTGCCAACTCGTATCGGGCTACCTCCCTTTTGTCTAGCGCATGCAGGTAGATAGGTACCTGCTGCCACTACCACAGGCAGGGGGGTGGGCAGGTACTACCTACGCAGCTGGGGCGAGTTAG